GAACTCTTTCAGTATCTATCGCACACATCGTTTTCTCTGTAAAGTCTATCGAATGATAAACTATAAAAAATTAGCACTCGCGATATCTGTCGGATTCGAGAGAGTCGCGCGCGTTTGTTGTAAACACACGGAACGGGTCGCACGATCATTATAACAAAAGTTAGGATCTTCTCGAGTACGCGGCAACCAAGTTTCAAATGAAGTTAATCGCGAGACGAGCTCGCGTGACGTTATTAAAAGATATCTTGACGTCTCATCTCACTTTACATACGTTTTATCTAATTCCAAAGATAGAAAATTACGCGCAGTAGAAGAGACACGAGCCGTGGTGTTTGCTCACTCCCGGGTGGATTATAATTTGGAATATCAATATTGAACTTGGATCAATTGTCGGAAAGAGATCGAAAGTATGATATATAGCGGTAAAAGGCTAACCGCGGTGTACCGCGTAATTGCCAAAGGTAAATAAAGCGCAAAGGACAAAAAGTCAGAGACAGAAGGAGAGAGAGAGAGAGAGAGAGAGAAACGAATTAAATTTCATCTCCCAGTATCACAAACATACCCTATTGGCCTTTTTGCGCGTTGTGCGAAACAAATGCGAATTCTCGTTAAATTTCGAGGCAAGGTGAACATGACGTAACGGTTGCATAAGAGTCAACATTTTCCGCGAGTAAAAGCGAGTTCCGCGTCCGCTGCTTGTCCGTGAATTGAAAAAGCGCGATAGCGAATCTATCTACGCGAAGGTGCTCGAGATCGTTATTGACCGTGCGATTGATATCTCGAAAATACAAGCACTCTCGATAGATATCGAAGGATAATTGTGGTTTGTCGCGAGTAAAACTGTGTTGTTGAAAAAAAAAAACAAAGATTGCTCGATTCGATGAATGAAAAGACTGACGGAACACAACGTGAGATTTCTTCTAAAACCACCGTTGTGTAAGACGTGTTTCTCGTTCGTCCGAAGCGGAAAATAAACAATTTTGTGGCTCAGAAACATTAAATTCAAGTGCTTCTTTTTTTTTTTTTTTTTTCCAATTTCACGATTCTATTTGTAAGCGAGAATTCTGTAATCGCGCGCGTGTCTTCGCAACACGCGATATTTTTGTAATTGACGTGCAATAAATAACAATCGAACGAGATCAATTATAATTGAAATACGTACCGCGTGTAATTCACTTGACGCGAATAACTTCGAATATTTAAAGAAGAAATACGTTTAGAGAAGTTCTGTCGTATTTATAATAGCGCGATTGTTGCGAATTCACGGCAATTACAGAATCACAGAGAGCGGAGAATTCTCTCGCGACGTCGCATCAATTAAAGCGACTTGAGAACAATATGGGGATCTATCTCGGTTACATAAAACTAAAGAAGCGCAGGAGAAGAAATGCGCATCAATTGATCTATAAATGAAGCGAATAATTCGCATCTGTTTATTTGAAAAGAATGATGGTGGAAATATAGCGAAGGAAGGTTATCTCTCGTAATATTATTACGTTAACGCGGAAAGAGTGTGTGTGCGCGTGTGTGTGTGTGTGTGTGTATGCGGCTCGAGGCTTTATTGTTCTCAGCACTTCAATTATTCGCTGGACACGCGCGTACTTGCAGAGCGTGCGAGCACAATTGCACACCGCGTCGTCCAAGATCTCGTTATCTCAAAATCTCGTCACGAAGCGCCGCGCCAAGTACTTCACTTATTTTACCGCGAGAGAGTCGCAATCTCACTCTCTCTCTCTTTCTCTTTTTCTTTCTCCCCCTCCCCCCCTCTCTCTCTCTACGTCATTTTCACTCTCATTCTAATTTCTTCGCAACATCGCGGCCGTGTACATTCCGTACGTACGTAATATACAGAAGTAGACAGAAGAAAATATATGCGCTCGCCTGATGTAAATAGGAAGGGACACACGAGTCCCTACTTCTCCTCCCCCTCCTCTTCGATCTCTATCGCGAAATTGCACTCGCACGGATGCACCATCCTGATCTAATTCTTTTTTCATAATTTCGTGCTACTTTAAGTGATCATTCTGCAGCGAGTTTAATGACGTTGAATTTTCACATCGATCGCGCGCAGATCGTAATTGCGACTAATGCAGAAAAAAAAGGTTTGTTTATTACACGGGCAGCAAGAAAAATTCGCAAACCTTGCACTGTGAATTTTGTTTTCCATTTCACTAACAAAGATGTTTCGTTGGCAAAGCAAAACAAATTCAATTCAGGCTTGGTGAAGTTTTCTTGTGCTGGCCGTGTAACAATAAACTAATCTTCTTGCTGTTCAAACAAAAATATTTTTTTGCGCGATTTTTTCTGGCAAACTTTTCGTTCAGCACACGAAGAGATGACACTCGTGTAAACATCATCATATCATTATCATCGTCATCATGTTCGTCACCGCGAGTCTGCGGTTTACGCAATTCAATTATCTATTCCGACACTGTGTTCATCAATCCAGTGTTTTTTTTTTCTTTTCATATAACGCGAATGTATTCCACATTTCGTGCAACATGTGTCGAATACGTGTTTGCGTGAAACGTTCGAATATAAAACTCGGAAGAGGGGGGGGGGGCAAATTCGCGTAGTGACACAACACATTCAACATTCGTTCCTCATCGCGAATGCTAAAAAGGATATAAAAGTTTCGTAACGTCGTTGCACTTACGTGCCGCATTTCCTCCGCATTGTCCGCGCGCGTATTAGCCCATCGCCGGCTGAATCGATTCCCGGCCAGCAACGTCGCGCTGCTGGCGTGTGCCCAATCCAATTCTGAACGACCGTTTTACTCATTAACGAAACTTCGTCTACTGACGTTGACGTCAACGCGCGAAAGTGTTTTGCGCGTCGCTGTCTTCGAAAGCCGGACTCCGATCCCGATGTGTGTATGTGAGAGAGAGAGAGAGAGAGAGAGAGAAAGAGAAAGATGACAGTTCGCGCGTGGCTAATGCAATCCTTGTAAGCGCGACCACCGTCGTCATTACCTTCCAATCGAGTAATCTTTACGTTCGAGCCTCGTTAGCACCTGCTACGGCCTTATAAATTTGCATTTGATTTCCACAGTGTCCTACATAGTTGCGATTTTTTTTTTGTCGACGTGTTGCGATGTTATCTTGTTGCAGAGATCACTAATCGAAGTTAACGCCTCGATTTCCCCTCGTTTTGCGCGAGTGATTGATAAATTCTTAAGTTGAAAAGTGGCGTAGTAGCATAAAGATATATTTAAAATCATTGATTCTATCACACTGAGAGAAAAATTGTTAATATACAAATTACTCGAAGTTTCGGTAGCTCGTTTTTCTCTCTCTTCCCCTCCCCCCCTCTCTCTCTCTCTCCCTCTTCATTTCTCTATCTTAATATTGGCGTTGCGATAAAGATAATCTTTTGTCAACCGTAATGCGGTATCAATTGTGTGTCTCAAACTCCTGTGTGTTACTTCGTACATAACAATTGGAAATAGCGAGTCTGTGTGAATGCGTGTTCTGCACGTGCAACGTGTATCACGTTGCGGAATTTGACATCTAATCTCCCAAGTTAATACCAGATAACAAGAAACACGTGCGGATATGGTGTTACGCGAGCGCGGGATAAAATCCGTTTCCGCGTATATAGGAACTCACAGCTGATCGCAAAGCTCCGACGTACACGTACATATATACACATATATGTTCCGGATCTACATGTTATGCCGCGGAATCGTGTCTCTTCTTATAATGTATCTTTGACGCGCGAAATTTTCATCTCGCGAATATAAACGATCGTCCCGTCCCGTCCCTCTCTTCCAAATGGCCCGTCATCGGCGAATCTCGGCGCGGAAAACGTGTATATAAACAATTATTTTAGATTAAACTTTACATATGGCTTTGTGTGTGTGCGCATGTGTTAACGATATAAATACGGATCGTACTCGCAGCGAGTACACTCGTTTTTTTCCTCTTTCACACGCGCGCGCACGCGCGCACGCACACGCACACACACACACACACATGCGCGCAAAACGAATAGAGGATAAAAGACAAGTAACAGTAGACAACGAACGATACACGATACGAAAACTCGCTTGATGATACGGTGTTTCCTTCACGATTTGAGTGTCGTGTGTGCGATGCGCGAAGGAAAATGATGAGGGAAGGAAGGCGGGGGAGGTGACAGGACTATATCGATGCCGCGTACAGGATAGAACCGTGAGGGGGGAGGAAACGTCTAGTTTCTGCAAAAACGAGAGATTAATATATGTACAAGGTAACTTCGGTACACGGTGACTTTCCGACGCTGATAACACGTTAGTCATTGGGAACGAACTTTACACATGGCCTCCTTCGCAAATCGGATCATATAAAGCTATTTTGAATAAGTGAAGAGAGTGGCAGAAAGACACGCACATACACGCACGCACGCACACGCACACACACACACACATATATATATATATTATATGTAGTATACAGCTGTATTTCTTATTTACGTTTCAATGAGTCGATTTAACTGGCTGAAAAAAAAAAGAGAGATTTCTCCATGTAAAAAGTGATGCTGGCGTGTGCGACATATCTCTGCTACATATGTAACAAACCAAAAAAATCACGTGTTTTCATGTAATTCCTTTGGACGCTTTCGATGTAAAACGCGTCGTTTATTATCCGTGTGCCACACGTTTCTGCTCATCCTTATCGCTCTCGTGTTATATCGCGAGTTCAATCGCGAGAAGCAACAAAGCGCGCGCGCGGATTTGCCACGTGCCGTTTCGTGCGTCCTTCTCTTGTCTACAACCGCCCCTCTCTCAGAAATAAAGTACTACCCTTCCTTCTGGTTTCTCCCTCGCGGGCACAAAAAAAAAAAGAAAAAAAATTACCTCGCTCCGTTTCGCGTTATCGAGAGCTATTGTTACACGGATGCGCGCGCGCGCGCGCTCGCGCCGACACACACATACACCTTTCTTTCCCTTGCTCTTTTTTTCTCTTCCACTCTTTTTTCTCTCTCTCACTCTCTTTCTCACTCTCTCTCTCTCTCTCTCTCTCTCTCTCTCTCTCTCTCTCTCTCTCTCTCTCTCTCTTTCTCTCTCTCATTCTTTCTTTTCCGAATGAACCATCAACGTGACGACGACGTTAACAACGCCGGTGACGAGGGAACGCCGTGTCACGTCGGCCCGAGGAGCAATCATGACAACGTGTACACGACATGCGTGTCCACCTCCTGATGCGAGCAACTTGCCGAGCCGGTGTCGCGTTCAAAACTCGGCGAACTCCTTGGCGCACTTCTCCGTCAACGAGATCCTCAGAGTCTCCTCTTCGTAATCGTCGAAATTGCTGGTGTCGCCTGGTCCCTTGCAACGCGGTATGAAGGGCGCCTCTATTCGCTTCTGGAAGACGGCTATCCAGTCGGTGCTGGCGAACCACTTGTGGCCCTTAATGTCGTTCACGCCCGCCTTGAGATTCCCGTACCTTTTGGTGAGATCGACTTGCAGCAGATTGCGCAGCAAATCCTTCAAGTCGGAGCCGAAGTGCGATGGAAAGCGCGGCTTGCCGCTCACGATTTTCTCATAGATCTGGATCGGCTGGTCGGCGAAGAACGGCGGATATCCCGCGGCCATCTCGTAGACCAGCACGCCAAGAGCCCACCAGTCCACCGCCTTGTTGTAACCCTTGCTCAGAATGATCTCGGGCGCCAGATATTCCGGCGTACCGCACAGGGTCCACGTCCGACCTTGCACTCTTTTGGCGAAGCCGAAGTCGGTGACCTTGAGATAACCCTGCGAATCGATCAGTAGGTTCTCCGGCTTCAGGTCCCGGTAGATCAGATCGAGATAATGTAGATATTCGAAAGCGAGAACGATCTGTGCCGCGTAAAAGCGCGAGTGAGGCTCTGAGAAGCGACCGACCTTGCGCAAATGGCTGAACATCTCGCCGCCGGGTACGTATTCAAGTACCATGTACAGATAAGAGTTGTCCTTGAAGTGAAAACGCAACGATACGAGGAACGGGAAACTGATAGCCTGTAATATCCTCTTCTCGTTGAGCGTATGTTCCACCTGTTTCAGCTTAACGACCTTCTGCTTATCGAGAATCTTCATCGCGTAATACTCCTTGGTGGGTTTGTGCTGAACGATCATCACGCGACCGAACGAGCCGGTGCCCAGAGTCTTGATGCGCTCGAAGTCGTCCAGTCCGGCGGTGTTGGTCGGATTTTTCTTCCATTTGTCCTCGAATTCTTTCTTTGCCTTGTCGAGAAACTCCTTGACGCTCTCGGCGGCGTCGACCTTCTTGTTAGCGGTCGCGGCATTGTTGCCCATCTTAGCTGCCGCGCTGGTGCCCACGCCTGCCAGCGCAGCTCCACGTGCAAAATGGTCCAGAGGACTGCTACGTCTTCGTCGTCTTGTGTCCTCCGCCGAGCCCGCCGAGGCTCCGTCAAACTTCGATGCTTTCAGAATGTTTGCTGCTACCTTCGTACGCGCGCTGTTGATAGCCAGACGTCCCTTCGTGTCGCGCCAACTCTCGATGCCAACAATAACGACGACGACGGCGACGACGGCGACGACGACGGTGGTCTCTGCGTCGCGTTACTGTCCGTGTTCCCGGGACTAGGTCCTTCAGGATGATCTCGCGAGCACCGCGAGAAGAGGAACGACCAAGAATTTATCGTAATTGTGAAAAAACGAGACGCACACTCGTGCGAGTATCACACTCTTGGTAGAAAAACAGGCCACGCACATACACACACATACACACACGCAGGGGGGAAGGCGCGCGCGCGAGCGCGACGCGAGAGAGGGCACCCTCCCGGTGCAACTTTGGAGTCCGTTTTCTCTCTCTCTCTCTCTCTCACTCTCTCTTACGGCTTCCTTCCCTGCTGTCGTCGCCGACAGTACGTGCAATCGCGGCACGAACAACGCTGGCCCGCAACGACCGAGAGAGAGCCAGAGAAGACGAGGAAGAAGAGATCCGTCCTTCGGCGAGAGGCTGCCGACTCCCGGAGATTTGGCGCGTCGTAAAAAAATGGGTCAGCAGCGATCCTCGTCCGCGGCTCGCGCCATCTTCCTTGTCAATTGTACCAGTCCGTCGTTGTGTCGTCCGGCGGCAGCGGCGACGGCGGCGACGACGACGATGATGATGCCGTATCGCTTTCTCTGTCTCACCCGTTCGCGCACTTCGCGTATTCCTCACAACGTCCGTTCTGTCCGGACTGCTCCGTTTCGAGCGCACCGCAAATCAATCTGTTTCACTCACCTGTTCCGTGTCCCCTCACTTCAAAAAAACACACAGCAACGGAATATCACTGGCCGCGTTCAGCAGGGTCCACTTGTTCGAACGACGGAAAATTCACACTAATTTTTATATACGACGATCGTCTCTCTCTTCTCTTTTTCGAACGACACTGAGCGGCAACGACGACGGCGACGTCTCGATTGCGTTCGTTTGTTTTATTTTTTTTTATTTTTTATTTTTTTATTTGCCAATTCTTGTATTGCAAATAAAAAGCAAAGACAGTGCGCGCGAGACGAACTATAATCGGCAAAGACAGTGACGTCTGCTCGAGTGAGGAACTCGAGTCGCGACACACTCGACACCTCGCTTTCTTTCACTCCGACACGGAATTATAAATCGAACAACGATACTCGCGCACGCGAGTCGATACTCGGTGTGTGTGTGTTCGTTGCTCTCACAACGAGAATGTGCAATCGTTTCGCGTTTCTTCTCTCGGACGTCGCGTCGCACCACGGAGGTGCACGGCGCTATAAACACCGCTCTCGCACGGCGCTTCAAGTGTATGATTGTCGTCGGCTCCCTCGGCACGCGTCGTCGGCAACGAACGACGGCGATGACGTCGGCGGAGACGACGGCTGATGGGTACGATCGTGCCTAAAGATGGCGACGCGACTCCTTCTCCGCTCGTTCGTCCAGGAGATTTTTCGCACGAGTGCGAAAGTGACGAGGTGCCGCTCCGGGAAGCGAGAGAGCTACTGTACGCTCGCGGGTCAGCTGTTGTTTCCCGAAGTCACCGAGAGATGTAGCGCCGCACAACGAACGGCAGGAGTTGGCAGATGCTGCCAACGCGACCTCGCCCGAAACTAACTTGCCGCGGACAATCGATGTTCGCGCGCGCACAAAAATACGAAACACGTCGGTGTGTTCAGCGCTTGAAAGGACCGTTCAGATAAAACAGTTTCTCGTTGCTATGTACATTTTATTTACATATTTATTTTAGTTCAGTTTGTAAAATTGACACAAATGTGTGTCGTGACTATTTTCGTGTGTATCGATTGGCAGCAAATCAATGGAACATGTGTGTTAACATGATTCGAAAAAGATTGAAAAAAAAAAAAAAA